ATTTGCGAATGACATATCAGATAAAGGGCTAGTATCCAAAATCTATAAAGAACTTATCAAACTCAACACCCAAAGAACAAATAATCCAATCAAGAAATGGTCAGAAGACATGAACAGACATTTCTGCAAAGAAAACATCCAAATGGCCAATAGCCACATGAAAAAGTGCTCAACATCACTCAGCATCAGGGAAATCCATCAAAACCTCAATGAGATACCACCTCACACCAGTCAGAATGGCTAAAATTAACAAGTCAGGAAATGACAGATGTTGGCGAGGATGCAGAGAAAGGGGAACCCTCCTACATTGTTGGTGGGAATGCAAGCTGGCACAGCCACTCTGAAAAATAGTATGGAGTTTCCTCAAAAAGTTGAAAATAGAGCTACCCTACGATCCAGCAGTTGCACTACTGGGTATTTACCCCAAAGATACAAATGTAGTGATCTGAAGGGGCACATGCACCCCAATGTTTATAGCAGCAATGTTCACAATAGCCAAACTATGGAAAGAGCCAAGATGTCCATCAGCAGATAAATGGATAAAGAAGATGTGGTATATATATATATATATATATATATATATATACACACACACACAATGGAATATTATGCAGCCATGAAAAAATGAAATCTTGCCATTTGCAATGACGTGGATAGAACTGGAGGGTATTATGCTAAGTGAAATAAGTCAATCAGAGAAAGACAAGTATCATATGATCTCACTGATATGAGGAATTTGAGAAACAAGACAGAGGATCATAGGGGAAGGGAGGGAAAAATGAAACAAGATAAAACCAGGGAGGGAGACAAACCATAAGAGACTCTTAATCTCAGGAAACAAACTGAGGGTTGCTGGAGTGGAGGGTGGGGGAGGGATGGGGTGGTTGGGTGATGGACACTGGGGAGGGTATGTGCTCTGGTGAGCGCTGTGAATTGTGTAAGACCGATTAGTCACAGACCTGTACAACTGAAACAAATAATACATTATATGTTCATTAAAAAATATAAAGACATATTTCCAAATTTAAAAAAAAAGGGGGGGGATAGGTTCCCAGCCTTTGCAGGTTTAAGAAGCTCCACATAAAACATTGCTTAATAGTTAATAAAACATTGCTGTTTAGGGAGTAACTGAATTGGGAGCTGAAAGAATGATGTTTTAGTAGAGGGCAGTTTTTGAACTGAAGTTTTCTGAGCTAAAGCCACTCTGGTGACAGGACTCAGGGTATTTATAGCCGTGAAAGTGGAATGGAGATTAAAGCGATGAGAGTTGCAAGTTGAAGGGCACGGTTATGGGCACAACTTTCAGTGGAAAGAGCACTTTTAATGTCCAAGTCCATAGACAAGGAATGACTGTGAGCTCTCTAGGTAGAAACAAGGAGAGTTGTTACATCAGGAATGCATGCCATTTATAATTGCACCAAAAATAAAATACCTAGGAATATACTTAACCAAGGAGGTGAAAGATCTGTACTCTGAAAACTGTAACATTGAAAGAAATTGAAGATGACACAAACAAATGGAAAGATATTCCATGCTCATGGATTGGAAGAACAAATACTGTTAAAATGTCCATACTACCCAAAGAAATCTACAGATCTGATGCAATCCCTATCAAAATACCAACAGCATTTTTCACAGAACTAGAACAAATAATCGTAAAGTTTGTATGGAACCACAAAAAACCCTAAATAGCCAAGCAACCTTGAAAAAGAAAACTGGTATCACAGTCTCAGATTTCAAGATATACTACAAAGTTGTAATAATCAAAATAGTATGGTACTGGCACAAAAACAGACACATAACTCAGTGGCATAGAATTGAGAGCCCAGAAATAAACTCATGATTACACGGGCAATATTTGACAAACGAAGCAAGTATATGCAATGGGGAAAAGAACAGTCTCTTCAACAAATTGTGCTGGGAAAATTGGACAGCTACAATACAAAAGAATGTAACTGAACCACTTATACACAAAAAATAAACTCGAAATTGTTCAATCTAAAATGGATCTAACTGAAATGTGAGACCTGAAACCGTAAAAACTCTATTATGTCAAAATAAAAAGCTTCTACACTGCAAAGGAAACAACAAAACTAAAAGACAACGGACTGAATGGTAGAAGATATTTGTAAATCATATCCAATAAAGGATTAGTATCCAAAATATATAAAGAACTTCTATAACAACAGCAAAAAGCCAAATGATCCAATTAAAAATGGGCAGAAGACATGAACAGACATTTTTTTCAAAGAAGACAGATGGCCAAGATGAGATACCACCTCACACCTGTCAGATTGGCTAAACTCAAAAACACAAGAAACAAGTGTCGGCAAGGATGTGGAGAAAAGGGAACACATGTGCCCTGCTGGTGGGAATACAAACTGGTATGGTCACTGTGGAAAAAAGCATGGAGGTTCCTAAAAATAAATAGAACTGCCATATAATCCAGTAATTCTACTACTACTATTTACCCAAAGAATACAAAAACTAATTCAAAAAGATATGTGTATCCCTATGTTTACTACAGCATTATTTACAATAACCAAATTATGGAAGCAGCCCAAGTGTCCATCAATAGATGAGTGGATAAAGAAAACATTATATAATATACATATATAATATATATAATGGAAAGTTAGAAAAAGGAATGAAACCTTGCCATTTGCAACTGCATGGATGGATGTAGAGAATATGATGCTAAGTGAAGTAAGTCAGAGAAAGAACAAATACCATATGATTTTACTCATATGTGGAATTTAAGAAAACAAATGAACAAAAAAGACCAACCAAAACAAAACAAACCCACCAGCTTCTTAAATATAAAGAACAAACTGATGGTTGCCAGAGGGAAGGTGGGTGGGAGGATGGGTGAAATAGGTGAAGGGGATTAAGAGTACACTTATCCTGATGAGCACTGAGTAATGCATAGAATTGTTGAATCACTATATCCCTGAAACTAATATAACACTATGTTAACTATTCTGGAATTAAAAATTTTTTTTTAAATTAAAAAGGCATGCATATCAGAGGAGTGGGTTTTTACATGAGGATGGAAGAGTAGTGATTTGGAAGTAGCATTAGAGGTGGAGAGAATTCTTGACCCTCCTGACCCAAAGAAGCAGGGAGTTCTACAAAGAAATCAGAAAACAAAAACATCAATTCTTGGCTTTTGATATTTCAAAAGCTATTGTTTAGGTATAAATCATAAAGATTTGAAAGAATACATAACCATCCTTCCACCATCCCCAGCTCACTCCTACCCCCACCCCTTCAGTCTATGTGAGACAAAAACTAAGAATTCTGTCTGGGGAAGAACGAAGGAAGCCAGCAAGGCAGGGAATAGACACTGGTGAGTAGTTGAGAGGAGACCTGCAACTTGCTCCCCAGAACCTGTCTCAGGCTGAGCACAAAAGTGGGAGTAAAGGATTTGCCATACCGCATGACTTAATTGATGGAATTCTTTCATATTAAACTTTTTAAATTAACCATAGGTTTTTTTTTTTAAAGCAGTGAACATATTTCGCATCTCTTACAAATCACTTTGTATATACTAAACCCTAAATTGCTATTAATTGAACTAATTTCTCAAAATGCTTCAAATTCTCTTTTTGCCTACAAATCTGGATTGTTCTTTTGGACACTAAATAGTATCAGTCAAATGTGCTACTTACTACACTTATGTTCAATTCAAACAATTAAATTCCAAACTGTCCCCATGCTTAAAACATCTCCCAATACAGAGAGTCTCCAAATTTCTGGAATCTCCCTTCTCTCTCTCTTTTTAAATTTATTTGACAGAGGGAGACAGTGAGAGAGGGAACACAAGCAGGGGGTAATGGGAGAGGGAGAAGCAGGCTTCCCACCGATCAGGGAGCCCAAAGCAAGGCTTGATCCCAGGACCCTGGGATCATGACCTGAGCCTAAGGCAGACGCTTACCGACTGAGCCACTCAGGCACCCTCCCTTCTCTCCTTTAAAACCCACTTTCTAATTGCAGACTTGCCTTAGTTCCATCATGTATCCAGTGAATTATTTCTACCATTTTGTACAAACTTAAGTGTAGCAACCATAGGTCCAAAAGTTTTTTCTATTTTTCCCATAAATTATCCAGTTTCCAAAAATATGTTGGTAAGCAGCAACCAAATGAAACAAGCATTTACCAAGTATGCTTTTTATGCTTAAAAAAAAAAAAAAAATCTTTGAAAGAGTATCCTATGGGCATATGTATTTACTGACCACTACCAAGGGTCACTCTTCTCAACACTAAAGATGAAGCAATAAGCAGAATAAAATTCTTTACCAGAATACTTGTGCTGATCTGTGTCAGAAAACATGGTCCCATGCTCACACTTCTCAAACTGATTCAGGATATGGAAAATGTACCAGAGAAGTCAGAGGTAAAGGCAGCCCATCTTTCTACTCAAAGATGGATGGGAGCCAGGGATAATACTAAAGCACAAACATATCAGGAGCAGAATGCAAAATTTGTGATTACAAATACAAGCGTGAAACTTCAAGCTGTTGAAAGCAGCTTTGAACTATGTCCATGGACAGTCCCCAGATTTGGCAAAACAAAGAATAATGTGTACTGGAAACTCAGAGTCAGAGTTCAGGCCCTGCCTTCTCAAGGTCTGCTCCTCAGACACTCCTAACCAGAGCCTGTAGTATCCAGTAAACTGAAGCAAAGAAAGGCACAGCCATTCTTGGATTCAGCATTTTCCTAACAAGGGCTAGGAGTAAAGTGAACATCAGGCCTGGGTCAGTGTTTAAAAAAAGCACCAGGGCCAACAGTTCTCTACTCCCTTACAGTCAGCCACGTGGCTAGCGGGTACACATCCCCCTTCCAGCAGTTTGGGAAAAGGAATGGAGCCTCCGCTTTGGGGCCTTGAGAGGCGCTCTTCTGACAACGTGTTTCCAGGACCTCGAAGACCTCTTCCCGTAGCTACACTCGGCGGCGGCGCTGCCTGTGTTCTGCTCCCGCACTGCCTCGGTAAGCCAGGGGCGGGGCGATGCCCTGTGACGTCACCGCGAGGCGCCGGGGGGCGGGCCACTGTGAGTCCGTACGTCGTGACGCCAGCTCCTGACAGTGCTCGCCTTCCCAGCTTCTGGGTGTCCCTGCAGGTGTTGTGGTCTTAGCTGTGAGAGGGGAAGGGCGCGAGGCGTTTCTGATCCGACAGTATGGAGGAAGGAAGAGGCGACAAGTTCGGCGGTGTGAGCACCGACCGCCTGACAATGGAGTCACTGGAGGAAATCCATTTGAAGTGAGTCGGAGGGCGGCGCGCGGACTGCGGCGCGGGTGGCGGGTTCAGGTACCAGCCGCCTGAGGAGATGCACCGGTGTGTGCCCTGCTGTTGAGAGCTGAAGCCACTGAGGTCGATGTGACGCCAGCAGTCTGATGAATACCCGGGCAGACCTGGCGACATCTAAAAACTATTTTATAGGAAAGATTCATTTGCCTCTTTGATTAAGCGTTTGGTATTAAAAATAGGCAGATTTTGAGGTAGGATTTTTCTGTCTTTAGGATCAAATCAAAGGGAGTGTATTGTGTGCGTATGCGGTAATGCTAAAATATGTGTTTGATTTTCATGTTCCACTAAATTGAGCTTTTCTGTTTCAGGGAAACAAAGGTTTTGTTTAGTTATGCTCGTCTTTCGTCGCTTTAGAAGAAATTAAGAAATGGTGACATTTTGTAAAAATAATGCCCCTCCTATATACTTTTACAAATACTCAATATCATACTTTGTATTAAATCTTTAAAACATTTTAAGTATTTTTTTTAATACCCCCAGTCCCACCAGCGGGCCCCATGAGAGTTAGACTCACCTCTGTGTCCCTAAAGCTTCCTGTGCTTGCCTCTATAGTAGCTCTAACAACACTTTTGTAATTGCTTGGCTATTTCTTGGTCTGATATTAAACTGTAAGCATTCTGAGAAGCGGTTGTGTTACCGGAGTCAGAGTATAAAAGCAAGCACTTTAGAGGAATCCTGCATAAATTCAAATCACAGCTCTTATCACTCAGCAACTACATGATCTTGGGCAAGTTAATGAACCACTAAGTTTACGTTTTCTCAACTCTAAGATTGGTGTACAAATCATTATACCTCGTGTGGTTGTCGCCAGGATTGAGTGAAAAGTACGTAAAGCACTTAACATCGGCTTATAATAAGCACTCGATGGAAGTTAGCCGCTGCTATTGTCATTGTTCAGTTCATTTATTCACTGTAGTATTTTCAGCATTTAGCACGAAGCTTTGACATAGTAGGCGATCAAAGATACATATTACATAAATGATTCTGACATATTTTGATAATTAATGTGCTAATTTACTGATGTCCTAAATTGATAATCTCTGTATTTTTTTTTAATTAGTGTTTCTTTTTTCCTCTTTGTTTCAGGTTTTCAGTTACCTGTTGCCCTAGCTATTCCTTTCTCTCATCCCAGTTAATTTGCTGGGCTTTGAGAAACCAGATAACAACTTCTTGGGATCATATTTAAGTAAGAGTAGAGGGTTTCTAATGGTCACTGGGAGCTTTAGTGCATATAATGGACCTTGGTAATCAGAAGCCTCCATTTGCCTGATTTCTGATTCTCAACCATGCCTTCAATTAAGTGATGTTTCATAATAAATTGTTCCTAAAGTAGTGGTGTGTTATTATGTATTATTATTTTCATATTATAATTGGATCATAATTAACAAGATATTTTTAATAATAGGGATATAGTGCAACTATCAATGCTTGAAATAAGACGCAAGATAGCGGAACTGGAAGCCAAACTCAATTCTGATGATGAAGGTATATAAGTAAATATTTTTATATGTGACTCTTGTATAATTATTGTTTATTTTGCCAAGATACCTATAGTGCATTAAATTATACATAGGAAATAATAGTACCAAGGTCTCAGTACTGGTTTTTTTTTTTTTTTAAAGATTTATTTATTTGAGAGAGAGAATGAGAGAGAGCACATGAGAGAGGGGAGGGTCAGAGGGAGAAGCAGACTCCCCGCTGAGCAGGGAGCCCGATGCGGGACTCGATCCAGGGACTCCAGGATCATGACCTGAGCCGAAGGCAGTCGCTTAACCAACTGAGCCACCCAGGCGCCCTCAGTACTGTTTTTTGGCAGCATTAATAATAATTTATTAAAGAGGCTGTTAAAACTAATATTTCAGTGTCAAATATGTTACTGCATAATTATCTGCTTACAAGTCCAAAATGTTCATCAATCAGCAAAACCTTTATTACATGACATCAATACATTATTGTTTTTGGTAAATAATAAAATGCCACAAGTTTTCCATTTAACTCAAGTAATACCCCTTATATCTTAACTTCTGCATTTGGCTATAACTTTAAAATCTTTATCTAGGTTTTGGCTATTTGTGTTGGAAGAATGGCAGGGTGGGGTGGGGACGGATGGTGTGCGGTGAGTGTTGTGCACATGCACACACACACACACACACACACACCCGTAGGCCCACATACCCATATATCCTTAAAATTTATAATGTATAGAAGATATTAATTCATTCCACAAATACTGAGACCCTGTCATATATCAACACTTTGAATGGAAGACTTTTCCCTGCTCTGAAGAGGTTCACTGACTTTTGGGACAAAGTATCAAACAAAAATGTAAATATTAGAAGAGATGTAAGGAGAAATGGAAACTCTGTTAAGGGAACCTAATATAACTTGGATGAAGACATAAAGATGGCCTTTCCAGAGGAGGCAGTGCTTGAACTGAATGCTAAAGAACAATAGGAGTTTCTTAGGGTTAAGGGGGTAGACTTTGGTTCTTTTTTTTTTTTTTAAGATTTTATTTATTTGAGAGAGAAAGAGATAGCAAAGAGAGCACGAGTGGGGAGGAGAGGGAGAAGCAGGCTACCCACTGAGCAGGGAGTTGGATGTGAGGCTCCATCCCAGGGCCTCGGGATCATGACCTGAACTAAAGGCAGAGGCTTAACCAACTGAGCCACCCAGGTATCCCTGGACTTTGGTTCTTAAACCCATTATACTTTTCTTTTCTTCTATTGGGGAAGCCATGAACAAACAGAATTAGTAACCATATGATAAATAAAATGCTACTTTTCTAAAGTACCCAAGGCTCTTTTAAAGCTTGATTGGAGAATACTACTTTGTCCTAAGGCTGAAGTAGCTTCCTATGTCTCCAATCTATATCTGGGATATATATAACTGGCTTTGTGGGGGGAGACTTGTGAATGCACTTACCAAGTAGTTGAACTGGCAAGGCTAGCTAGAATTTTCTCATCTATCCAGTTACAAAACAGGTCACATGCACAGATATGCAGGTCACACTCACAGATACGCATGCAATTCAATAACCATGCCCATTAGTAAAATGTAAGCCCAACAAATCGTATTATCACTAAATCTTCTCATGGGGAGGAGCTGGTATGTGCGTATAAAAAGAAAAGGTAAAATGATGGACAAGAAAGTTATTTCCTCCGTGGGCCAAAGCTAAACCCTAAGGTGAAGGGGTCAGAAACATATACCTCTTCTTTAACTAAAGCCAGGAACTGTGTCAGGTGAGGTGCTTATAATTATCCCCATTTATGGAAAAATGGAATTTAGGAATTTAAATAACTTGCTAAGATTATATAGCATATCATTTCTTCCTAGATCATCTATCCACCAGTACCACTATTGCTATGACAACTGCTATCTACCACATCAGCATTGAACAGTTCTGGTTATTTATTGCTGCATAGCAAACCACCTAATAACTTAGGGGCTTGAATTAGCAAATTATCTCACAATTTTGTGGGTTGACGGTTCACCTGGGAAGTTAGTAATTGGGGTCTCATGTGATTACAGTCAGGTGTCTGGAGCTCAGTTATCTGAAGGTTCATCTGGGCTGGACATTCCCAGATGACTCACTCACATGGCCAGCGTCTGATACTGGCTGTTGGCTGGGAGCCCAGCGGGGCACTGCCTATCAGAAATACCTACTCACGGCTCTTGTAGCTTTTGCTTCTCACAGCATGGTGCCTGGGTTCCAAGAAGATGTATCCCAACAGCAAGCATTCCAAAATACTCCCAGAAGTGGTACAATGTCAATTCCACTATATTCTATTGGTCAAAACAGTCACAGTTTCAAGGGGATGTAGAAGGAAACTCTACTTATCAAGTTCACAGTACAGAAAAATATAGGGGATGGGATATATTATTTCAGTCATCTTTGGAAAATATAGTCTGTCACAGGGAGCATTAAACATAATGCCATTTGAGGCGAACTCTTATGTAATTGATAAAGATGGAATATAGATTGTCCTGAGAATATGACAGGAGATGAGATTAAGGTTTATGAAGAAGACAAATGAAGAATAGTCTTTGATATGATGCTAATTAGTTTGTATTGATCCTGAAGCCAATAGGGCAATATTAAAGGTATTTTAAAATAAATTTATTACTTTTTAAGATTTTATTTATTTATTTGAGAGAGAGAGCACAAGCAGGGGGAGCGGCAGGCAGAGGGAGAGGGAGAAGCAGACTTCCTGCTGAGCAGGGAGCCCGATGTAGGACTCGACCCCAGGGCCCTGGGATCATGACCTGAGCTGAAGGTAGACGCTTAACCGACTGAGCCACCCCGGCGCCCAATTTATTACTTTTTCATATTATAAAAGAAATATGTGCACAAGTGGCAACTCTGGGTACATTTGTTTAGATGATTCTTTCATACTTACCACTGTCCTCAAATCTCCATCACCCTTCTCCCCATCTCATTAACAGCTAATGAGCTTACTTTCAAAGAGAAAAGGGAAGCTATCAGATTTCCACGTTTCTACCAAGAAAGCTACCCACCTGCCTGCATCTTTGCACATCCTCTCTCTTCCCTCCTGTTCTGCATGTTCTTATCTAAGGTGACTCCTCCACTTATATGATAGATCCTAACTACTCTATCTACCAAGGACATCACTCCAGCATTTGTCCTCTCTTTTGCACTGTTTCCCTTCTCCACTGGATCATTCCCAACAGCATACAAATGGGCTGAATTTATTTTGTTGAAAAAACAAATGACAAAGCCCCTTTGGCCCCACATTTCCTCTTTTACTGTCATCTTTCACTGCTCTATGTACAGCAGAACTCTTCAAGAGTGGTTTCTATTTCTACTTTTTTTTTTTAAGATTTTTAAGGTTTTTATTTATTTATTCGACAGAGAGACTATTTATTTGTCAGAGAGTGACAGAGATTTGTTTAGTCTATCTGGCTTGTAACTGTGTTAATTTTTAGGCTAAATGGCAAATACAACTTCAAAGGACTTCACATTCCCCTAGTGGCCTCTTGAAGCCCTTTAGGGTTCATAGGAAACTATATGCAGAAAAAGTGGTTTATATTTTAGTGTATGTGCTGCTGAAGTGAGCACAAAAGTGGTTTATGTTTTGATTAAATTTGAAGTTCATCTTAAAGCTCAGTGACAAGATAAAGAACAGGAGAGGATGTTCAGATCACTTTTTAAAAAAATGAGAAGAATCAGTAATTGTGTAGAGCTTTAAGTGTATTTTAAAAACTGAAACTTTGAGAAAGATATTATTACCCCATTTTATAGATGAAAGGCTGAGACTTAAATATCTCTCTCAAGGCTACAGAAGTGGTGAGTGACTTGGATTTGAATCTAGGCATTCTGGCATCAAAGCTCACACTCTTAGCCTCTACTTGTTCTACTTCTTATGCTTGTTTACTTCTCAGTACTTTTTCATCTAGAGAAGAGAAACTTGATTTACTGAGGCTCTGGGACATTTGCTCATCTAGGGTTAGAAATGGGCTGGATTTGCCCAGCACAGGCATGAATTCTCTCTTGAACTCATGCACCCACTACTTAGGTGATCTCCTCTGATCATAGGCTACTAAATCCCAGTTGTATACTGACAACACAAAAATTTACATCTCCATCCGGGACCTCTCCTTTGAGCTCTTTTGAGTCTTCATTTATAGGCTGGTTTCTATCCACAAGCCCCTTGGCTATTGACTAATACATTAACGGATCAAATAGTTTTCTAACTCATCTCAGTAAATGCTAAAAAATGTTTTGATAAAATTCAATTTATGTTCCTTTTTTTTTTTTTTTTAACAGAAGAGCACTTCTATTTATCTTAAACTGGCCTAATACTTAATGATGAAATATTAGAGGCATTCCTATTCCTGGGGAAAAAAACAACACCACCACCACCAGAGATTCCAGCTGCCACCATTAAAATTTAATATTTTTGAAAGTTTCAGTCAAGCAATAAAATTTGAAACAGACATAAGAATTGTAGGTTTTAGATAGGAAGAGATAAAATTATAATTTTTAGCTTTTATAATTTGATATCCAGAATTTTCCAGAGATCAATTGAAAAACTATATTAATAAAGAATTAGGAAATGGTTAGATGTAGTAATGGAATAAATGCCTATTTAAGGAAAAAAAAAAAAAAAACACCAGCAAAAACCAGTTCAAAAATAGGGTTTTTAAATGATTGTGCTCCTAGTTTCAGCCCAAACTATAAAACATATGACAATATCCTTGATAAGAAATATTCAGAACCTATATGAAGGATAGCAGAAGACTATGACTATAAGGCAGTAATAGCAGTTTAACCAGAATTCTCACCTTTTTCAACATAAGAGATTTTACACTAGAAAGAAACCCTGGAATAAAATGAAATTGGGAAAGTTTGCAGCCTTAGCACATGCCTTGCTGAGTCCAAGATCAAGATGTTGGCAAGGTTGGTTTCTTCTGAGTCCTCTCTCCTTGGTTTGTAGATGGCCATCATTCCCATGTCTTCACGTGGT